CCCCAAAACCCCAAAACCCCAAAACCCCAAAACCCCAAAACCCCTGTGACGCCAGATTCATGGAATTCAGATAAAAATTATGACGTCAATTAATTAGTTTTGGTGACGATCATTTTTGTCAATTTCTCTCTCAATTATTTTCTCAATGTGATCTACAAGTTTTTGAGCTTTAGCCTCAAGAGATGCATCTTGGTATGCTCAATATCTGAATTTCTTGTTATAGCTAGCGCCAAGTATGCAGAGGCCACAGTTGAACACGTTGGGTGTGATGAAATAAGAGTCTTCAAGAGTGTACCCGCATATGGTGATTGGTTTCCTCAGACCATTAATGTTGGACACTGCTAATTCAATATTTCCAGAAACGAGATCAACAATAAGATTGTTGACAAGGATTGGGAAATATTTCAACATAAGCTGAATCTTTTGTGATGACCACATTATTGAAGGTTTGAACCTCTTGTGTACAGCAATTTTTCCTTTCTTCATTGTTTTCTCAAGATCTTCTAAACAAGGGAACTCACAAGCTCCAAGCCCAATACAATTTTGGAAAGTGAGTTTCTTCTCTAATGAAGTTGGTGGAGGCCTCAAGTTGACTGGAATACCCATACCAACTCTATCAAGACTCTTGTATCCAAGCTCGTTAGCATAATTCTTCATGCCTGTGCCAATACACCCAAGGAAGAAATCATTGAATTTCATGCCATTATATCTCTTGTAGCACTTTCTATTGCTTTTAACCATAAAAATCTTACCTTAACTGCTCAAAATCATATGTCTTCGAAACAGCTAGCTCCTTCTTGCCTGAGAATCCTTCCTTCAGCTTGTAAGGGTTATCCTGGCCCATGATCTTGACGTCAGATATAAGCGAATATAGGAAAAAGAAAGGTGACAGTAAGAAGAGAGTGAACCTCATGAACACACTAATATTCTTCATCTGTGGAATAGCAGAAAGATTCTTGTTCCCATCCACTGAGGAGAGAAATAGCATTGTTCCCATTCCATCTGAGATACCGTGATGAACTCTTCCAAAGATGACTATTTTATCCCCTTGATAGTTATCATGGATGTATAGATCCCACTGCAGCTCGTCCTTTCTCATTGGGTATTCGGATACCTTCTTCATATAAGCTATTAAGTCCTTCTCCTCGTTCATATCTTCTTCTATTTTATGGATCCTTTGAGCACAGAGAGTTCTTGTCTTGCTATCGTCTGGCAGGACTTGGAAGAGGTGGATACCTAAGAATTCGAGAACTTTTGACTTAAAAATATCGTTCTTCATAGTATACTGCAACAGCTTATTCTTGAGATACAAGAAGTGGTCACTCTTGATCTCCTTGTGATCATTCTTGTCCAAGATTAGGGTTCATGTACATATTGACTTATTTTTCTCTTTTTCCAGGTACATAATCAGGTCAACTCCTCTCATGATTCTTATGTTAAAAAAGTTCCAGAGTATCATGTCTGCTACTTTGTAGATAGTGTAGATACCACAGAGGCCATAGACTGGTCCAAAGTTGTAAAACAGGATTCCATATATGGACAAGTGGACTACTGCCACTACAATATCGATAAGTTTAAACATTACGTCAATTAAATTAATACTATTAAATCAGACTTCCTTAAATGGGGTTTTGGGGTTTTGGGGTTTTGGGGTTTTGGGG